AGCAACTTCTACAAATAGTTTTTAACGGCTGAGCAATAAAACGGATTTTTCTGCCTCCTCAGTTTGTAAAGCAGTAAAGGACAGATTCGGCTATTAGAAGCACGAATCGCCACCAGATCTGATTGAATCCCCCTGGCGTTTCCATCAGGTCCCGGCTCTGGGGTCCTGGGAGAGAACAAAGCAGGAGCTACTCGAGGCATTCAGCAAAGGCAGGAAAAAAAAAAAAAATCAACCCTAGGATTTTAAAAGCACCTTGAGTACAGCCAAGCAGCAACTTTTCTTTTTTTTTCCTTTTTTTTTAATTGAAAATGATAATTCCTTTAAAGGAAAATTGGTGAGAACCTATAACTGCCAGCCAAACTCCTGCGGGAGACAGTTTCTGACATCCGCAACATCGTTTCTCGTGAGAACGAGACAGGCTAGTTTGCGCTGATGTGCACCGCTACGATATTTGCGTGAAACACTGGAAAATCACGTTCAGGTTCTGTCCTCACCTGGGCCAAGCAGCAACTTCCGCCACCCTGTCCCTAGTATGGCCAAACTGTCTCCAGTCCTCGCTGCCCTGGGAGCCCCCCGTCTCCCTGTGCCGGGGCCGCTGCACGGGTGCAGGAGGCAGAGCCTGCTTGCACAGCGATAAATCTAATGCTGCCACCTTGAAATGCAATTAAAAAAAATCTCAAAAAATTCAAATATACATATATATTTATATAAAAAACCAAATAAATAAACAAATGGCCTCTGCAGTGATCAAGCGAGCGTGCAGCAGCTCTGTGGCTAACAGCAAGTCCCAGCTGAGACAACCTGGAGCAGCCGCTCGAGACAGAGCGTCCGTTCCGGCAAGGCTCACAGGGACGTGGTATAATACAGCCAAGTCGAAAAACTAGTATTTGGAATATGACTTTGCATGGATCTTATTTAAAACTGGGCCATAAAGCGTTCTATTAGTTTTTGAGGTGTTTTTTTTCTTAAACTCCAGTCAATTCAAGATGCTGAAAAATCTCAGAAGATGCTATGCATCCTAAGGGGAATTTTAGAGATCACCATCCTGGGTACAAACAGGCATTGTCAAAGGGCTGCTAAAGATCCCAGGCAATTCAAGCGCTTAGACTGTCCTGCATAGTCAGTTCTTTAATTCAGTGCTAAAATCAAATCCTTTCCGTTTGGTTCCAGGAGTTCAGAGCAACTGTTTCACAGAAACATGAATTTTAGCTCTAGACTTTACCTTAATCACAATTCAGTTTGACACTAAAGTCCCGGGGCCACGTTTTGCCCAGAACTGTAACAACACAGAAAAAAAACAATACACATCCCAGGGAAGTACTGGGAAAAGCACAAAACACTGGGAAAAGGTATTAGCTTCACACATACCTCTCAGCTAGGGAAAGCAATGCACCCAGTGCCCCCTTTCTTCTCCATATTACTCTTTTAAAAAGTGTGAGATTGCATCTGTCATATAATACTTAAATATCCTTGACTGAAAGGGATGCAGAAACATTATTTTAAACGCTTTGACAACAAAGATTATGGAACAAGCTTGCAAATTTCTCAAGAGTCGGGGAAAGGGGAATAGACTCATGGTTTTCTTTGGCACGCGAGTGCTTGCAATCTCTTTTTATTGTGTCTGAAGTTAATACCATCAAAAAAGTCCTTCTGCATCGTGCCTCGCTGCTTCAAACAAACGGCCAAAGCCCCTTGACGTTCTCCCCGCTCCTGTGAAACCCTAGCAGCGCTGCAATGCATTTTGACCTGCTTTTCCCACTGCAGTTCGTTAGCGATTTTGCGCGCAGCTCTTTGCAGTCATCGCCCCGTTGAATGGGAGCTCTGTTATGCGCGGCTCGGGGGATTAAAAGGCTCGAGGGACAGTACACTAAGCCATAATAATGGTCTACGTTTGTCGTGGTCTCTAGGCACAGGGTAAATACTCTGCACCCATACGGCGATGGGAAGCCTGCAGAACAGGTTTCTAAACCCTCTAGAACATAATATCCAGGGCTAATTGGATATGGGACTTTTTTTTTTTTTCCTCCCTTTTGCCCTTTTCTTTGTCAGAGGGCCTCCTGCTGAGAAACAAAGGGGTGGAGAGATTTCCTCCAGCCCGACAGCTCGGCTGCCCCGGCCAGCTCGAGCGTGACGCGGGATGTTTGGGCAGGTCCGCGTCCACGCAGCCACCAGCAGCGAAGCAAACGGCGAGGTGAGACTGCAGGCCACGCTGCCTGCCGCCGCAAAGGTCGTACCGCAGTGGCCATATGAGAAAGACATTAGGACCAAACGTAGGAGCACTGTGCAAGTCCACTGGATAGAGCAAAGAGTTTGGGCAAAGGGACTAAAAGAAGCAACCCAGGGCAGGCTGCTAATTCATGCCTCAACCTTGAGTAAGTCTTTGTCCTTTAACTTCTATGAATGCTGTGTGCAAATTATTTTGTTAACACCTGAGCTGAACTGTCCATGCCCTAAAGAGCCCACGACCTCTGGCAAGGACATGGTTTGTGTCAGTGGTTTCCCTGTGGCGAGTTTTATACCAGAAATAAAGGTAAATTTCACATGAAATCTGGTCAAAAAACATCCACTGGTGCATTTGACTGTAGCTGATAATCCTTTTGTGAATTTTTCTCAGCCTTTTTAACTTTTTCCCCTCAAAGTAGGTTTTTTTGGACAGCTCCCTATTACCACCACCACCACCACGGAAGGGACAACAGGCAGACGCTTCGAGATTTTGTAGCTGAAGAACCCAATTCCAAATCTCTGAAGTCACAGTTACTGTTCCTCCTCCTCCTCGCTTGTCTCCCCAGAAAAATCACCCTAGAAAAGTTCAGCTTTATCAACTTTGCAGCCTGGTTCACCAAGTGGCTGCACGGTGGCTCCACCAGCATGATAGAGAGGATGACTAGGGACGATAATGTTCACTGGAGGAATGGTAAAGATCATATAAGCTGGCACTTCTTCTAAAGGAACACGTATGGGACCAAGACCTCCACGTGTGAGACTTAATTCAAAGTGCGTACTTGTCTAACTAAAGACATGTGAATCAAGTACGAGGGGGGAAACAAGTATGAATTTTAGGCCCTGTTATTAAAACTTTATTTTGAGATTAACACTTGCTATGCTATTCAAGTAAGAAATTCTGAAATTCTATTAAGCTCTGGCTCACGGCCTCACTTATACTTGATAATTCAGCTCACTTACACATTTCTGAATTGTATTTACTATTTAACGATCCCCAGGACAGCCTGCCTGAGTGGGGTCTATCTCCCTCTCGGTTTAACGTCTGCTCCAAAGCCCACTGAAGCCTCAGGCTGTCTTTGGATCAAGCTGTTAGCCTATCATAACTTTTATAACACAACTATTTCCCTTATAGAAAAGCCCTAAGGAATTTAATACTGATGAAACAAATGAAGGAGTATGAAAAATCCTTCTACAGAGGTTTCTTCAAAAAGCCAGCTGTAAATTAGTAGAAAAGGTGACCAAAAAAAAAAAAAAAAAAAAAGTCTCTGTTTGTACCATTCTTTACATTTGTATAAAGGAAGTAGCCAAGAGAAATTTGTCATTTCTGAGCTTTAAAAGCCTCCCAGAGCAGACAAACCCCTGAGTTTCCGTTTCCCCTCTCACAGGTCCGCGAGGCGGGCAGGTTCCCGCAGCGCCCGGCCTTGGCCCGACTCCGCGCTCTGCGCGGGGACGGGAATTCCCCGCCTGCCGGCTGCGGCCTCTGCTCAGTCCCAGCGACGACCACGTAGCAGCTCTACATTGCACAAGTTTATGTTTCCTTTGTTTTTTTTTTTTTTTTTTTTTTTTTTTTTTTTTTTTTTTTGCAGGCAGCTAGGTTTGAGCTTGCACACGTATGCCTCAGACTGTCTCGTTTGCGACGTTTCCTGGGAAAAGTAACCACTTCAATTACCCTGTACGGCACAGGTCTGAGCAAATCCCTGCTCGGAAACACGCGCCTGCTTTTCGGAGGGTGCTGCTGGAAGTGTTAGCAGCTTTCCCAACACTGCAGTAGACTTCCACACCACAAACACCATTTTATATCCCTCACAACTGCGCACATCTAACAGCGAACAATAAATCTATCTCACTAATTACACATTCAGCTTGTTATAACCATCGTAAAACATGTACAGCTGGGAAAGCCATGAAATGATGTCAAATCATATTTCTACTTTCTCAAGAGAAGCAGGCTTATTTTCCAGTCTCTTGATGAAGCTGACTGTTCAAAGCCATGTGTGGAAACAGCTGCCAAATAGGTCATCCACCTTTAATTAGGTAATGATATTGTCTTTTTTCCTACCCATTTAAAAGCGTTTGACATTCTGTAATTCAAAGTGACTTAAGTGTTTGTCGTAAAAACCTGCCTTGGGAAGAAACTGAAACACATGGAACGGTATCCAAGTGCCAGCATTTTCTCTTTAGCGGCCAAGATCAATCTGTTCAACCACAGAGAGAGTTGCCTAAAAACCCGAATTGCCAGCTTTCCGAAGGGAATATCTAAGGTACGGGTGTACCCGTATGTTCAAGGTATGGTTCCTAAAACCTCTTAAAAATGAGGGCTTCAGCGGCCACACGGGAAGACGTGCCACTATCCCTCCTGACAACCTAGACTGACCAGCACAAAAGCTCTCCTCAAAACAGTTGTCTGAGATTCTTATGAAATCACTGGTCTAACAAAAAATACATTACCTCACTCAGGCTAGAGTTACTGCTTTCTGGCTGCCAGATAAGCTCCTTCTTAGAGAAGGAAAGCATGTAAGAACATCCCGGCGTCCCACCTAACAGCCCTTGAACAATACCAGCTTTTGAAAAACAAGGGGCTACATGCAGCACGAAGGGAAAGTAAATTAAATTTTCACATGTTAGGAGGAAATACCACAGGACATATTTACATGAATATGTCAGAATAAAACCGGCAGCATCTCTTTGAAAAGCTGCCTTATTAGCTGCCCCCACAGTTCCCGATGCAATTTGGCTGGACAAGCAGTAATGTTAAAAAAAGACAAATTAAATTTTACCTTCCCGTATCTGGATGCAAAGGTTCCCGTGAGTAAGGAGTGAAAAATAATTATCGTCTCATCCAAGTCCCACACAAACACACGCTGTGATGAAAGACAGGGTGGAAAAAAAGAAACACAGTCACACATTAAGCATTGGCAGGAATTAGGTACTATTGGACTAGAGCTTTTTAAGGTATCAAACCCATTTGGAGCACAGAGCATAGATGCTTCCTGCAAGCAGGCCAAACAAAAGATCGGGAATCGTGGCCCTGGGGGCGCTTGTTGATCTGCGAGGCTGCTATCCTAATAACCACCCAGATCCCCCGGGGCAGATCCTGTCGGGGCAACAAAGCAGCAGCCCGGAAAAGAGCCCAGAGGGGGGGAAAAAAAAATAAAAAAATTCACAAGTGACAAATCATCGGAGACGCCGCTACTACAGAAACCGAACAATTATTCTGATTTCAAAAGTTTGTCTAGCGGAGTTTGTAGGCTCCAAGTATACAACTGGTTTCGTTCTGGCGCTTACGGCGCACTAGGCTGACGGTGGATTATTTTCTAATTGCTGCACCAGGTTCCCCCTTTGCTGGATTTGCTACGGGAACGTAAGTCGATGTCGTTACCTCGATCTCATTGTCAGCAGTAGGGGAAGGATCGTTGCTTCTTTTTGAGCGGGCTCGTACCTTGCCGTCCGCCCCTCTGTGGTGCCTGTCTGTTTCTATATCTTTGGCTGGTGTCGTGGCATATTCCCCTATTGCGAAGGAAGGAATTGCATCATAAACTTAAATTTTGCATTGTATCACTACAATTAAAACAGGAGATCTCGCAGTGGAGAGCAACAGAAACGTAAAGAAAACACTCCCAGAAAAACTTACTCTACTCATGACATTGTTAGAGAAACCACTCAGAGTGGTTTTTCATTCATTTTCATTCGTTTCATCTAATTTTTCATTTCAAAGGTTTGTGTTACAATAATTTCAAAAACAACCAAGATTACAGATGATTTTTAAATGTCACTTAAAAAAATTTCATCATATTTTTCAATTAAAAGAAGCATCTATTTGAATTTTACTTCCCCCCTCCCCCAACACACACACATTTTTCCAAGAGAGAAGTTAGAAAACAGTAAAGAAGTTAGAAAACAGTTAGAAACAGTAACAAACAGTTAGAAACAGTAACAAACAGTTAGAAAACAGTAAAAAAGGATATCAGGACCTCTTCAACTTTTGTAAAAACCAATTGTTAAAATTCAATTAATGTTCACGAGTACAAAGATATTTCCAACCTCAACTTCTATTTAAAAATACATAACTAGCCTGTTTTAGTTTTATTAACCATTTCACAGAGGACAGTAGTCTAGAAATAAGAGAGAAGAAACAAAGGTGAAACTCCCTGTATAAAGTATCTGTTTTGTTTGGCTTGAGTTTCATAAACCTGTCCAGATTTCACTTACCTTACACTACAAATCCTTTTCAAATACATTTTTCTTTTTGCCTTGCTAAGTTGTGGGCCCCCAAGCTTCCTACAACAGCTGCATATTTCTGCAGAGAAGGTTGGGTTGGGGCTAAGATGCCCAGCTGAAATCACCTTTTCTCAAAAAGGCTGAGATAAGATCTCAAGAATAGAAAATCCTCCAATTGCTTTCAGAGCAATCTGTGATCACTTCTTTTTAAAGACCAGTTATTAGTTTATTTTTCTTTTAGAGCAACCACAGCTGTTCAGATTTGTTCCATAAGTCAGCAGACCTGCAACGGGCGTCTATTGTGCTCATCCGCAAATTATGTGGTGTTTTACATAAATGTTGTTGCATGCCAACGGAAACTGCAGTAGGGAAATGATACGTGAAGACTGTATTTGAACAGTACATGGGAGGATAATAATCTGTCAGTAATTCCATAAACCATTTAAGGCTTGAGACTTTCAAGAATGAAGCATTCAAAGACAGTCCAGAAATGCTGAAGGTATGGGTGCTTTCTGTATGGAGTTCATACTGAACTTTCAGCTTAGACTGTGCTGATTTTTTTTTTTTTTTAAGAAAGGCTTTCTCTTCATGTACTTATTTCTGAACGCAGATAGTTGTTAGAGGCGAACTGAAATCTTGATGGAGATGCGGGCTACAAAGTCAGCACGTGGTGACATCTGGGGCTTTTTCAGAGCATGGCCATTTGTTTTGAACTCCTCATTGCTATATACAGTACTGATCCGTTTTTTAAAGTATTTATTATATCTTTCTGTACTACTTTTAAGTAGAGGAGATCAAACCATGCACACTCATGAAAACACCACAGGTTGGTCTTAGAGAGCTTGTATTTTCTAACCTCTTCCCTGAACTTTGTGTGTAGTACTGCATGAGCAGAAGAACTGTTAAGCGTCAGTAATAAGACTTAACTAGGAAATTTGGCTTACCTGGGTAAATATACTTACAGAAATCCAATAAATACAAAAACACTTAGAAAAATCCAGCAGCGAACGTAAGAGACACCTACCAGAGAGCGACTCTGTGCTCTGGCTGCTGATATTGTGCGACGAGTCTTGCAGCGAGTAAGTGGATGTGGGGATGGCTGAAGGGCTGATGCTGTTTGCCGACACGTAGGGAGAGTTGTAGGAAGAGCTGTAATACTGAGAGTACTGGCTCTGAGGAAAGCTTGGGTACGAGGAGTATTCCTTCAGGGAAAAAAACATGTAACTTCTGTGTATCGCAGTTTTTATCTTATGAACAAATGTGCAAAGCACCGCATACAGCAAGGCAGCATTATCTAAGCATACAGCAAGTCAAGCCTTTCGCTGAGGAACCATGTTTTAGTCACTTTGGAAATTACATTTCTGCTTCTCCCAAATACACTCCTGCTTTATTAAGATCAGCTGAATCAACAAGAGGTCAAAAATCAGGAAAAGTCTTGCTTTTTCTGTAGGATTTTATTTATCACTGCTGACCCATTTGCTATTACAGGGTTCAGCAATTTTATCTGGGAGCGAAGTAGGGCTGTGTTTTGAGGAGGAGAGCAATGGGACGTGTAATCTCCACAACAACAGTACACCTGAGAAACTAGAAAAGTGGAATGAATAACTGGGTGAGGAAAGGAGCAAAACAGGCTGCGTTTTCCCATGATCAGCAACATTTCCTGATCAGCTGTTCAAATGGGTTACAAAAGTGAAAAAATAAATGTAATAATTGCTTTGCAGAAATGTTCACGCTTGAGATTTTCCAGCTATCTCAGCAACAACTAAATGCCTGAATGAGCTTCCTTGCCTATAGACATATGAACTAATAACGTGAGGTGCGAGTGATCTCTGAGAGCTGAAGTGCAGTAGCTGAATCAACTCAGAAAAGGGTGTCGTGACTTTAGGGATCCCAAATGAACTTCATACCATTCTCTCCATCTGTTCCTTTTTGTGAGAAGGACACTAAATAGATTAGGAACGTCTCTCTGGACAATTGAAATATAAAAAGTTTAATTTCTTGTGTTTGTGTTTGTGTACAATTCCTGGTCTAGTCCACTTATTTGCTTTTACACATAGCAGCATCCATACTATAGGGATTGCTTTTTCAGCAAAAGTGCTTTTTTAAAAAAAAAGTTAACTAGTTTCTGGAATTAAATACATGCTAGCTGGAAAGACTAAAAGCCCTTTCCTCCTTAACTCTTTACATCTTGGCGTGTGACACTGCTATTTCATTAAGTCTTAGTCACCTGGGAGCTCTCAAGAACAGACAAAACCCAAGTTGTCAGTATAAAAATCAAGCTAAAAAGAAATGAGAGACAATTTCCTTGTTTTAGCCTAAAGAACATCACAAAATCATGATTACTTCTGCAGGTCACCTCTACGCTTCAGTCAAACGTCCTTCTGTCAGCACTTACTGACCCTGTTATTAGCCCAAACTGAAGTAATAAAGAAATTGCCCCGTTGTCAAAAAAATGAATTACAACAACCACCTTGCAGATGAGAAATTGAAATGATTGCTCCTAGGCTAACCAAAAGACACTTTGGGGAACAGTGTACTCGTGTGTTTGGGCCAACCAAGAAGAGTGATTTACTACTGAAAAGCACTTCTTATGCATATATGCGCACCGCGCATTTTCACACACGCGTTTCTCAGGGTAGCCGAAGCACAAAGTCCCCGACAGGCGACTCTGCAAGGAAGGAGGAGCACGGAGGGCTCGGAGAGCCCAGCGGTCATCGGGGCCTGCCTGGGGTCGCTTTCAGACCCTTCGCGTGTGTTACCCAGGGCCAAGACAGCAGAGGACAGGACGCTAACGGGGAGCTTTCTGGAGACGACGGGAAACTTTTCTGATAGTCGTGAGATGGCATGAGAAGGACGAAACTCTCGGCGCTGCTGTGCAGCAGCGTGGCGGAGACTGCCGGCGGCACCGTCCTCCCTCCCTGCCTGCCTCCCTTAAAATAAGCGATGGGGCTGCCAGCACCGAGTGCTGAGCCGTACCTGATGCACAGCGCTGAATCCTGCAGAATTTGCCAGGCCATTGGCTCCTTGGTAAATCCCCGTTGTGCCTATGAGAAAGAACATCACACTCATAAACTACACCAGGAATCAAAGTAACAGCATACATTTATATAAACAGGCAACAACAGTAGGTGAAATATCCGTGCCCTAGAAAAAAAGTATATCACATGAAAAACATAGCTTACAGGGATTTGGGGCTGCTACCGAGGTCTGCTTAAGACTACTCAAAGACAACCATTAGGTATGCTAAAAGAAAAAAATTTACGGAGCTGGAAAACAAGGATTCAAATTGAATTTTAAGTTCAGTGCCTTTCTCTTTCCTGTAAATAACAGGTTTTTTTGTTCTTCTCACGTAGGAAAACCCCACAGATTACAAACACACACACGTATGCTTTCATGCACAGGTACATCCTGGGGTCTGTCTGGTGGACCAGGCGCAAGTGAATTTTAGAAAGCTCTTTGAAAATTTATTCCCTGGTGTTGCTATGCCAAAGATAAGAATTGTATTATTGAGGTTTCTGGGCCAGCAAGGAGCGAAAGCACTGCTTTGTCCCGTGATACGAGAAAGGGAAAGGACTTGACTCCTTCCAAGTAAAGCAGTCAATGGCCTCCAGGCAGGCCTTCTTAGCTGGGGGAAACGTTACTGCAAATACAGGGATTTTATGGGTGGAGAAGAAAAAGTCTAGAAAACATCTGTAGGGACAATCCTCCATTACCTCCCCCGAGGGGAGCGGTGGAAGAGCTCAGGGCTTCTCATTGCCCGGAGCTGGCACCCTTGGCAAGTGCTAGCGTTGATTGAACTCCAGTCTTTGCCATTTTCTATTTCCAAATTGCCCTCCTCACCCCGCTGGGGAACGGCCCCTTGAACCGGTGCGGTGCGATGCTAAACTACACCACAAGTTTGCTGCCCGTGTTTGCAGCAGCGCCTGCTCCGAGGGCTGCTGCTCACGAACAGGAGGAGAAAGCTGGGCCATGCTGGGGGCTGGAAGGTGGTGGACTCCCAAGGGTGCTCTGACCTGCTACTTCCACAGCTAAACACAGCAAAAGAGGTGCAACTTGGGGGCTGTGCGGCCACAGGCGGGCTCTTGCACGGGCTCCGCTTTGTCACCTCCACGCGCCCCCAGACTGAGCCCGACTCAGGCACTCAGGAGCCAGTTTTTTCCTCTCTGGTTCCTCACTGCAGGACTGCTTTTGAGCAGAGCTGCTTTAGCCAGATGCCTCTCTCCATGCCTTCACGTGGCATCCTCTCCCCCAAGACCCCCTCTCTTGCTTTTATTTTGAGACGCCAGATTAGCTAGGGAAGGGACAGCTGAACAAACTCCGCTCTGCCAAGCGCGCTACGAAGCACGCGCAGCCAGAAATAAACCGCACGCCAAAAAGAAACAAGGAGGAGGAGGAGGACGACGACCATTCTGTCCTCCAGACCAAATTTGCTGCCACATGCAGCCTTTCCAAGAGCAGGGACAGGGGAGGGAACGGAGAGGACACGACAGCAGACAGATATCCGGAGCTGGCGCCCTATCGGCACAGCTGGCTCCGAAACGGAGCTGAGCCGCAGCAGGCTGGCGCGGGCGGCGCGTCCTCCTCTTTCTACCCCAAAACGTAGCTCCGGAGGGAGAGCCTGCGCAGCAGCGGCCCCTCCGCCCGCGAAAAAAATTTTTTTTTTCCCCCTCAAAAAAGCAGCTAGGATGCGGCAGGATGAACGCATTGGTGGTAACGACGCATCTCTCACCGCGGCGAAGGGGCGCAGCAGAGCCCCAGCGCTCCCGGGCACAAACAGCTTTGGCAGCAGGTACAGCAGCTCTGGTACACCCGCGCACCAAACAACACAGGGGGGAATTTCTGATCTTCCCAAACTGTCGTTTCGAAGCAATCCATCATCCTTTATTAAAGCTGTCAGGAAGAGGATGAGCTACCTCGAGGGACTCGCGCTTTATGTGTAAATTGTGATGAGAACATGTTTATTGCTGTGCTACCTGCACACGATACCGCCGCTTCCCGTTTTCCCAATGATTCGAGATAATTATATTAAAAAAGGAGAGACCTGCAACATGGGAATGGGCTTGCACTGAACTCTGCACCAGCTGCCCACTGCAAGAGCGCGTACACATGTGCACACGCGTGTGTGAGAGGCAGACACACAGACAGGGGAGAAGAGGGCAAAACCAAAGAGGTGAGAGGATGGGGAACGACACGTGCTCCATAGCTTCCCACAGAATTTGTGGCTCGCCCCTACCCGGTGCCTTTTACGCTGTGGTTTTGTGGAATATTTTTGCAGAGGTTCCCCGGGTGCGAGCATGTCCCAGGGAGGGGCCCCCCACCAGTCCCTGCAGCGCGCTCCCTCTGCCCAGGGGCCTGTGCTGAGACAAAACTCCTATTTCTTTACCCATATATTTAAATACTGGTGAAATTGGTATTTCTGAAACCCGAAATTCAGAGTAGCATGGATACAGATACTGGCAATGCAGGTTTTTCAGATACATACTATCTCCTGTCATTGCGTCCTGATCCATGAGGAGAATTGTTTGGTCATGGAGAGAGGACTCAGTGGAGGTGACAGGGACCCACTTGCTGCCAGCAGCTTGAGCAAGAGGCAGCACATCCACCAGGCAACCTACCCAGGGTGGTGAGCGCAATCTGACCCAGCAATCGAGCTCTGAAACACATTCCCCGTGAGCTGAGCCTGTTTTGTTGAAACTGAGAGCAAACGCAATCACCTTTCTCGCCCCTACAGCATTGCATTCAGGGAAGGCAAACCCCTTGGAGTAGCTCAAGAGCCGCTGCTAAGTTCTGTATCTCTTGGCGCCTCGCTCTTGTTATGGCGGAATATATACAGATAAGGATGCTCTAGAAAACCAAGCAACCAAAGCTACTAAAAACTCAGAATTTCTTCCCAGTTGAATAAGGATGAAAAGTTAGGAAGAAAAAAAGCACTTACCTGCATGGAGCAGGAAGTTCTGAAACACTCAGGTTCAGAAATATTTCATTTTACCTACATTCAACATTAACCTTTGTCTTGGGGACTACAGCTGTCTCTTGGGGACCGTAGTGCAGTCCCAGTTCCACTTTACAGGCTAGACTTCCTGGGGAGCCCACTTTTCCAACGATGCACAAGCAGTTCAAACGGAAGGAAAACAAACAGGCACCACAGGAGATGAAGACATGGGAAAAAAACCTCCTCCTTTGTCCAGAGAAGAGCAGAACATGCTAGTTAGGATTTCTGTGAGCTGCCTCTCAGGATTCAGCAGCTCAGAACACAGCAGAACTGGCCATGTTTCCTTTTTTCAGTACTATAATGAATTTCACTGCATGAAATTTCAGTTGTGCATGTGTAAAATTTACACTCAAAAAATGTTGGAAAATTATCAACAACCCTCTAATACTGCCATTATCAATTTATGCCTATTCCTCCCCACAGCTGCTTCCAACCATTTACCCACTCATTTCAAATGCCAGGTAATAGCACTTACTGTAATAATCAAAGATGGGCTTGAATGACAAGAGAAAAGCAGTGGTCATACGAAGTGAGGCAGTGTTAGAAAGCCTCCGGATGAGCAATGTACATACTCCCTCCCATTTCTGAACGGATATTGCCCATTTCCATAGGACTTCTGCTTTCACCCACAGTGGCGGTTTTTCCTGGCCTCTGAAGACAGCACACTATCCCAAGCTGCAGTCGCTTTTCACGTTCGCTCCGCTGTAGACGGGTGAGCAAGCGGTTTGTTTCCATCTATCTCGGTAGCACAAAGTCAAGCAATTGCATTCAAACTCCTCCTTGCAAATCAGAAACAACCCTAGGATCTCTCCCTTTGGATCTTCTCCATATGGAATATGGTTCACATCTGTGTTCAATCAAACCAGTTGCTAAATGTCACAATGCCCTCATTCACAGGTAGCTTAAAGAACATTTAGCTGGTAATAAAACAATCTGGATTCTAGAGAAAAATAGCTCTTCAGATGTATGGCACTGTAAATGTTCCTGTAAAGAACATATATCACAAACACACTTGCATGAAGAGACACCGCATAAAGGCTGTGCGTACGCAGTACGTATTCAGTGCCACAGCTTTTCCTTGCTAAGTAGATGTAGTCCTTCTCTGAGTGTCTAAGGGCAACATTCAAAGAGAAAATTTTGTGAGCTGATTGATGTTATATGTCTGTTCTTCATAACAGATGGATTTCATTTGCTATTTTTCCCTCAACCCCTTTTTAATTCAAACGTTTTGTAACCTATGTCATGGTGAAGGACAGTTTCAGTGGTGTGAACTGGACTGTGCTCCTGCAAAAACTTCCATGCCAGTTTCTCCACTTCTCTCTTTGCATCACTGCAATAAGAGGCTGCATTCTCTCCCCTCCTCTTTTCAGATAAGTAAAAAAAAATAAAGGCAAGTTCAAGGTTATTTTCAGTATCTTCAGGACTAAGCTTTGGAATTGCCAAATAAGTTTTCTTTCAGCAGCAGCTTGTGAATGCAGAGTACGCTATAGGAACATCAGTGTCTTGAGGAGCGGTGGTTATGGAGATAGGATGGACCTGTGTTATAGTTCAGATTAGTCCCATAGGAAGCTTTGAAAATTAGGTCTGTGCCCTTGCTTTCATTTCACAGGTCAAAGAGCATCTGTCATCAGAAAGGTGTTCTCTCAATCTCCTGTGCTGCTCAAAAACCAATAAACTGCTATACTGAGAAGAACAGGTAGTTTGCACTTCCATTACAATATTTAATGAAATACTCAAGAATCAGAGAAGGAGGTAGCAAGGTCTCAATGGGGTTGGACAGCAGGGCACTTTCATAGCCACGCGGGTAGCCAGCAGCAACTGAGAGTTCAACAACACCGAAAAGACGGAAAGCTGGGCTGAGGCTAGGGAGTTCAGTGGGTGGCTACGACAGGCACTTCTGAATACGCCTGAAATAAAACAGTGACGCTATGATCCAGGTGTTTCTTCTAACCTGTAGATGAATCATACAGTGGTTCCAGTGAGAGTTCTCTCAAAGGATTATTTGATCACTTAGCACTAATAAAATAAATGCCTACAGGGTTCAGTTGAATT